TTTCCACTATCACAGCTCCTTCCAGATGGCTTCCCCATCTATACTGCCAGCTCTCACCGGACTCCCATAATGTTATGTATATCCTAGGGGTTCAGAGAGCTTCTTACTATGGCTAAGTCAGAAATTACCTCACTCACTGTCCTTTGTCCATTTTTGTAACCTGCCCATGTTTCAGTCATTTTGTCCCTCCATTTGAGTCATCTGGGAGCAACCCTGCCCCTATCTTGGTTAAGAAAGTCCCACCAATTGAACCTTCTGCAGTCAAATGCTCTACCCCTGACCTATACCCCCTCTGCTCAGTTGAACCTTCTGAAACTCTATTTGAACCATGCTTCTTGCTGGGACCCTGACCAATATAGCCCTTGTCTGTACTTCAGAAATTCTCATAGTTAATCAACTAGCCTAACCCACTCACTCGTGACATAAGGTCAAAACACATTCACCCAACACATGCATGAGCATACAGCATTATATCAGAGAGCAGGCATTAAAAAGCTGACATTTATATTCATAAAAATATATCTAATCAGCCTTGCTCACTCCAGTTCTGGTGGTGTACTTTAAGGAGAAGCAGCTATTTCCATGAGCAATCAGGGTTTATGTAAGGCCGTCCATCCATATGAGCAGATGAACATCATTATAAGCCCGCTCTCGAGATTGCAATGTTCCCAAACATAATGCTACACCGTCAACAGTTATAATGAGTCAGGAGCTCACTGCTCCCCAATAAATGGCCCTGGCCTTTTTGTTCTCTTCTGAGTCAATCTCTTTATTGTTCCACTCCTTTGGTGGAGATTGTTTTAATATGTCCCATTTCTGAGCAAATTCTCTCAGCTCATCTTCAAAATTCTGAAATTCCACTTGGGTTCCCACTGGGCTGTGTTTGTTTATAAGGTCACAAAAGGTTTCTTTAAGCTAAATCAAGCTGGGTAGCATTGCTGTGCCTGAAGTTTTCTGTAAGTAATATCAGTGGCAAGACGAAATGGGTTTTAAATCATTTGTAAGAGATTGAGCTCCTTGTCCAGACCAACCCTAAGGACATTTCTTGCCTGTTTTTTTTGTTGTTGTTGTTGTTGAATGACATAATGGATGTGAAAGTTCTTTGTGAACCATAAGGACCTTTCTAATGTAGGGGATTATGACGATGATCTCAGAGTTTGGGAACATCCTGTCTCCTCGGGTTTATTTTATTCCCCATTTTTCAGGGGTCATCAGATTTCTAAAGAAGACCAGACTCTTTTCCAAGATTTCCTTTTACATTCGCAATAGAGTAGATCCTAATTAATAATACAATTATTCACATACTGATTTACAAAATATTTATTGGATACCTTCTCTGGGATAAGCATTGGCCAGGGTACTGGGAATAAAAGAGAGTAAATGATACAGTTCCTGTCCTTCAGGAATTTAACTTTTATTTGGTTCTCACTCTGTGCCAGGCACAGTGCTAAATACTTCACTCACATTCTCTCAATTAGAATTTATAACAATACTCAGTTAATTACATTATCCACATTTTGCAAATAACACATAATAGCAAAAACAATGATGTCAATGACGAACATTTATTGAGTGCTTACTGTGTCAGATAGTGACCTAAATGCTTTACAAGCATCTCAGTTAATCCACAAAATCCCCATAAGAGTATTGTATTGTCCCTATTTCCCAACTAATGATTAACATTTATTGACCACTTAATATTGGCAAGTATAACCCTAAGCATTCCATATGAATTATATCATTTAATTCTTTCAAGAACATCATGAAGGAGATACTACTATTGTCCAGTGCTTAAGGAACATTCCCATCTTCATATGGCTGGAGTTGGTGGAGTTGACATTCTAACTCAGCTCTTCAGAAAGCCCATGACCTTAACCATGACACTAAATTGGCTACCAGGAACACATTATTCTCAGAATACCTGACTCTCAGTTGATACAAAGATGTCAAGGTGCACATCACAGCCAACATTGAAGGAGGATGGCTGAATAAATCTGAAAGCAGATGTTGTCTTTATTCACCTTATAGTCTTTTTTTTGTTGTTGTTACATGATAGCTTCCAATTTAAAAAAAAGACTTCAATTTATCTTAACTTACTTTGTTAGTAAATCAGCACTATTAAGTAAATATGGTCTCTAAAAAATGATGAGCAGAGAAACACAAAGGGCTTAAAACCTTGAATTCTCCTTAACTCACTGCTAATACCAATGCTTTCTAAGTAAAGTCTTATTCTGTAATATTTCAGATTCACCTGAGATTTCCTCCTCAGTATTTCTAGAGAGGGGTTCAAGAAATGTGGAATTTCTGTCAAATATGACGACACTCTGAAAACTACTCCTCCAAACACACGTGTGTGTGCATTGCCCCCACAACACACACACACACACACACACACACACACGCATTTTTTTTTGGTAATATTCAGCAAAACCCCTTGCATCAAGCAAGCACTCAATACATGGCTGTAGAACAGAATGGAATAAAATAGAAAGTAGTTGGGGCGCCTGGGTGGCTTAGTCGGTTAAGCGTCCGACTTTCGCTTGGGTCGTGATCTCGCGGTTCGTGGGTTCAAGCCCCGCGTCAGGCTCTGTGCTGACTGCCAGCTCGGAGCCTGGAGCCTGTTTCAGTCTGTGACTCCCTCTCTCTCTGACCCTCCCCTGCTCACGCTGTCTCTCTCTCTCCTAGAAATAAATAAAACATTTAAAAAAAAAAATAGAAAGTAGTAGAGCAGAATAATACAGAATAAAAAGTCATAAGTTCAAATGGAAACAGCATAGACTAGAATGTCTACTAATTAAATAGAACAGCACAGACTGTACTGGAAGAAAACTGATGCCCGACACCTGACTGTTAGGATATATTATCATTTCTTTATACTTGCAAAATTCAAAAGGAGGGCTTGTCTGAATAGCTGGTCCCTGAGAGCCATAGGAGCTCATGCTCTGTTACATCTACAGTAGATGTAAACAGGGCCCCTCAACAGCAGAGGAGTCCCCTCTCCCCAGCAGACCCTCAGTTAAGCGCATCCAACACCAGGAATCTCCTTGTATTTCCAGGTAGGAGAGGGGTTGGGAATCCTAAATTGCACATAGTTCCCTTTTAACTTCTGCCTTCCTTGAGGTGGAAAGCTCCCATGTCCAGAGTCCTTGCTGATGCTGGATACGAGATACACCCAGAACAAAATTTTGAGCTAAAACCACATAAATAGTTTTGGCTTTGGGTGGTCTGTCTACAGTCTTCAGAAAGCCTACACTGAAAGGCCTGGATATTGCTGAGAGGTTATGCCAATGTGTCTGGCTCTTAGCTGCCTAATATCTTGAGAGAAGGCACAAGCACTTCCAAAGAGCTTGTTCTAACAGCTGCCCTGGGTCAGCTCTGGACCAGGCCTGTTACCCAAAGAGGGGCTCCATCCAGCATCACCAGGGTATCCTTGGGGATCATGTCCTTAAACGGAAGGCTGTGAGCCTGGATATCAAGAAGGAAGACTGAGCCCAAGAAGGCTGATCTATTTAAAGGTGCTGGTGGGAATGGGGAAGTCTCTGGTGAATTAAGAGAGTCAGAGAGTCTCCATGACAAGGCCACAGACACCTCACTCACCCCCTCATAGAGATACGTATGATCTGTGTCTCTGCAGAAGCTTGACTAGTACCCCACTGCCTTGCCCTCTCCTCTGTTAATGGGTGATGTATTAACGTTCCCCCTGTTGATTCATATATATGTATGTGTATGCACATTTTTAAAAAGTTTGTATAAACATGGGAAAAGTTCTGGAAAGATACATAGCAGATAAAGTGGTTTCTTCCTCCTCCCTGCCCCAACCCCTCAGGGAGCAGCAGGGGAGGGTGTTCAGTTCGGTGGAGACATTTGTTTTGTTTTGCTTTTTATAATAATCACTGAAATACGCTAAGTGCTTGCTAAATGCTCAGAGACATGCTAGTGTGCTACCTATACAATGCCGATTAATATGCATAAGAGCCCCATAAATGATGCTTGCTCTATTTTACAGGAGCTTGAACTAAGGCCTCGGGAAGGTAAATAATGACCCCAAATTCGTAAAACTTGAATGCTACAGAACCACAGTTCAATCCCAGGTCTGTCTGATCCAAAACTGTGTTCTGTCCAGGCTGTACTGTCTCCACAAAGAGATGATTGTAACATAAATAATATACATACCATATACATATACACACACACACACATATAAAATAAAACCTACATATACATATGTACAGAGAAAATGTTTTTCAATGTACCTATATTACTCTTACATTTTTTTAAAGAATAGATACCCCAAAACAATACAAATGAATAAGATCTGGGAAAGGAAAAAAGAGAAATAAATTCAGTGAGGAGTAATCTTTTCACTTTCACTGCTTTATTTCGTATTTCCCCAAAAGCAGAGCCTGAGACAAGGACTTGGGTACATGTCGTTTGTTTGGGGGTGATCCAGGGAAACAGAAAAGGCCGAGACAAGGAAATACATTGGTGTCACGGCTGCAGGCAGCATGGTTTGATTTGCCCAGGATCTCCGAGGAGCAAATAAAGTGCCTCTCAGGAAGAGAAGCTGGGCCATCTGCCACTGGCTTCTTCTGATCCCCTTCACCGAGGCTTGTTCCCAGGGGTGTAGAGAGAGCCTGAGGTGGGATTCCGCCACTTGAGGTGCCTCTTACTGAAGATGAATTACAGGGAGGCAGGGGGATGTGACAGAGGATGTCACAGAACTCTGTCACACGCACCATGTGAAGATTACCTTCACGGGGGACCTTTTTTGTTTTGCTGAGATCACTGCTGTTCCTCAAGGGGCTTTGTTCTATGGAAAACTCCTGGAAGGAGCACAGAGGAGTCCTCTGAGCCAGACCCGACCAGGACTCTGCTGGTCAACAGCTCTGAGTGGACTAGGCAGGGAGGGAGGGGGCACCCAGCCCACAGACAGACATGCAGAAGCGAGGGACCCTCTGGCTTCTTCACAGAGAGGCCTTCCTGACACTCACGACGAGGCGAAGCTCAGAGAAGGGAACAACCAGCAGGCTGAGTTCCATGTCAAATTGCCTCTGAACTTCCACCGGCCCCTCCTCACGGCCTCCTTGGGGAAGAATCCGGCCAGAGCTTCCCAGGTTCTGACGCGGTGCAGGCAGGAGACGAGGTGAGGAAGCGAATCTGAGATGAAGAACTCCAGTTTACAAGAAGAATGCCAACTGTCAATAATCAAAATAATTCTTCTCTGCATAATCAATGCCACATCGGTGCAGCTGCTGAGCAGGAAACAATAAACACCAAGCAAAAATGAAAGTGTCTCTTTTTCTCACACTACCTTACAAGGAAAACCCACACGGGAGCAAGGGGTTGTGGAGCTGTTCCTAAAGCGTGCAATCAACATTTCCTTGAAACTAGAGCTGGCATCTTGCATCCAGCAAACGTCTCTCTTTCCACATTATTATTTACTTATACCTTGTGGAGAAGCTGTAGCGCTCAACTGCTAGGCCATGTGTTCAACAAATGGCAGTCCTGCCCAATGGTGCACTTCGCGCTTGAATGTCAACATTATGAGTTCACATGCATGTCAGTGTTGTGTGTGATCTGCATTACGTGACACTTGGCCACTACTACCAAGCGGTGAGGCAGGAGCCTCGACCTTGCTATGCATTTCACGGCACGGCATCAATTGTTTTGCAAAAAGGGACAATCTCAGGTTTCTTGAATTGAACATCGGGGAATCCAGAGTCACCGGGGTGTAAAGTGTTGGCTCTGGAGTCCGACAGATTGGGTTGGAATTACACTCTGCCATTTACTATCATGTGACCTTGAGACCCTCACTCCACCTCTCAAGGCCTCAATGCACTCACCTGTAGAATGGGAATAAGAATAGTCCCTCATGTGTCTATGCTGGGAATTAAGTAAAATAATGTTATGACCTGCTGTACATATAGTAAGTGCATGGTCAACGTTAGCTGTTATAACTGCTCTGGAGGTGAGCAAGATTTCATCCTTCTACCCTGAATCTCCTTCCATAAAATAGTAATGGCCTACCCTAGTTTTGTCCTGGAAGGATTTCTAATACCTAGGATATTTTTTAATGTTTATTTATTTATTTTAAGAAAGAAAGAAAGAAAGAAAGAAAGAAAGAAAGAAAGAAAGAAAGGAAGGAAGGAAGGAAGGAAGGAAAAGGAAGGAAGGAAGGAAGGAAGGAAGGAAGGAAGGAAGGAAGGAAGGAAGGAAGGAAGGAAGAGAGGGACAGTGGGGCAGGCAGAGACAGAGAGAAAGAGAGAGAGAGAATCCCAAGCAGGCTCTGGCTGTCAGCACAGAGCTCAGTGAAGGGCTCAATCTTACGAACTGTGAGTTCATGACCTGAGCTGAAATTAAAAGTCAGATGCTTAACTGACTGAGCCACTCAGGCGCTCCTAATTCCTAGGATTTCTGATTTCTCATTTCTCCCCAATTACTCACTGGATTCACTGGGTATTCATGTACTGCCAAGACAGTGTGAAAAGCTGGGTCCTTCAAGGCTTATGGACAGAGACCCAAGATGTGAAGAGTGCCTTGTGGAAATGAACACACATCTCCCAGGTCAGAGTGAGCTTGCACTGGCTGGTTTATCCGTTCTTTTCTGAACACATTCTCTCCATCTCCCTGACATATGATGCAGAGGATGTCAGCGTTGCATGGAACAGGGCTGAAATTTGGAGATGATGGAGAGAGATTCCCCAGGGAAGAGTTTCTCTTGATCTCTATCAGCCTGGATCACTTTTACCCTCCATCTCCCCAAAACAGGCCAGAGCAATGCTTATAAATTGTGAAGTGCTCCCCTTCTTCAAAAATGCATCACTGGCATCCCACTGCCCTCAGATGAAGCCTGATCTCATAAATATGGACTAGCTCCCTGGTGTGCAGTCCTCTGTGAAGACACACAGTGCTCAGAGAAGCAGAATCGGGCAAGAGTGAAGACCAATGTGAGCCCAAACAATGATCTGAGAATCTCATCCCTGGTAAAAAAAAAAAAAAAAAAAAAAAAACCCACACATCCCTGAGAGGAGCAGACCACTCAGAAAGTGAAAAAGAAAAAGAAGCCACATCACATCAAAATCATGACCCCTCTGTCTCCGCCATGAGCCGCAGCAGCATCATAGGGAACTGGGAAAAGCACTTGCTCTAACATCTTGTACATCGAGAGGACAGAGAGTGCTCTAACGTCTCCCAGGCTATTTAAGATCCCAGGCTCAGAGGCTGGTCAGTCCTCACATGGATCCCAGCTCTATGACCTTAGGCAAGTTCATCTATCTCCACAAGCCTCAGCTTCTCATCTGTACAACAGAGACACAAATAGCACCTACCTCACAGGGTTTGCTGAGAATTTAAGAAGACAACAGAAAAAATAGTACTTGGCTCAGATCATCCATAAAGATTAATTAGTACTGTCATTTACTAATGATCATTCGTAAATTTGTTATCATATTCTAAAAAATGATAAAAAACTGTGCTATGTGCCTAGAACTAAGCACAAAGTCTCAAGCCATGGAATGAGGAATCAGGTGAGAGACGGAAGAAGGGTAACCAAGTTCATGGACTGATGTTTAAATGCTTTCTTCTTAGACAAGCGCCTCGGCCTCAGTCACAGCTTATTTGTTCTTATCGTAGGCGTTATTCTAACAGGCTTAATTATCCAGCTTCCAGTTCCAGAACAAATTAGAGGCAGCTGCACTGATGGGAGCAGAGTCCTGCTGCGAGCCCGTACACCGTCCTACGACATGGAGGGTGCCCCACCCCCACCCCCACCCCCTACCTCTCATGGGTCTACACCGCCACTGCCTGCAACACTCCTGATATGATTCCGATTCTCGTTGTCCCCTTAGCTCTCTCCCTTACATGCATCCCTTCCTTTCTATCCCCTTAAGTCAAAATTGAATGCAATGGCGCACGTGTGGCTGGGACAAAAACTGCTGGAGTGCAGGGTTTACGAGGACGTCACAAATGCAAACAACTTTCAGAGACGGTGAGGGAAGGTAAATGAATGAAGAAAGCAAGAATATGGTAAGAAAGGTGTCTCTTTTGTGAGCAAATGAAGAGAAAATGCCCAAAGGCATCCACCCCACCCCACCTCACCCCCACAACCATCACAAGAACAGCCAATGGCCCGGCCCTGGTGATGTGTAAGCCGACTAGGACATGGCATCTGGGCCCAATAAGACCCAAGGAAAGAAGGGACATTTCAAGTTGCGGGAGAAGTGACATCCCTCCTTTCAGACACAAACGAGGAAGCCAGAGCCACCGTCTTGCCCCTAGGTGCCATCTTAACAACCGCGAGAGGAGTGACCCATATGGAGAAAGACGGAAAGAGCCAACATTGCTGATGAGGAAGTGAACTGGCCCCTGGAGCACGGCCTACCTCCTGACTTGTGGAAGAGAAAAAATGTTCCTACTGTGTACGGGGGCGTGAGTCGGGGTTTCTCAACTAGCCCCTCTTCGTGTCCTGGAAAACACAGAATTAATGTTTTAACTTTCAAGCACTGTGATGACCCAGTAAGACTGGGAGCCTCTTGGCTGGGAGCAAATACAGAACTCTTGAACACGTGAAAAGTGAAAGGTGCTCTAAGCGGAAAACAAGAAAGACTTAGTACAAAAAATATATATAAACCATCTGATTCGTATACATTTACACTGTTTACATTCTTGAGAAAACACTACCTTGGGTATGTTGGGCTAAATGTCTTCATTTGTAAAGCTGGTTTTATGTGTTTCTTTATACCTTGTCTTTAAATGCGGCGACCAGAAAACTGGAAGTCACGTCTGCTGTCATGCTGCATCTCCAGTGGCCGGCACTGATCTCGCCGTACGTCTCCCAGTCAGCCTAAGGATATTAGGCAGTACAAAACTATGTACTCCTATTTCACTTACTGTCAGCAAAAATATCTGAACTCTTCCTACCCTTCCTTGTGCTACATCATTTTTCTCCCTTCTTTTCTCCATACAGTTCTCTTCTCAGCTAAGTGAGAAGCTTACATAGTTAGAGCTTATCGTCAGTGCATAGAATTAGGCAAGTGGTTCACCAGAGGGTGTGCTGGAAATCCGTGGGGCTAGTGACGGTCATCACAAGATGGGGAGGGGTTATTTTTTTTTTTAATATTTTATTTATTTCTAGGAGAGAGAGAGAGAGAAACAGCGTGAGCAGGGGAGGGTCAGAGAGAGAGGGAGTCACAGACTGAAACAGGCTCCAGGCTCTGAGCTGGCAGTCAGCACAGAGCCCGACGCGGGGCTCGAACCCACGAACCGCAAGATCATGACCTAAGCGAAAGTCGGACGCTTAACTGACTAAGCCACCCAGGCGCCCCAAGGGGAGGGGTTATTTAACGGGCAGGGGTTTGCCTGGTCTCCTACAGGAGAAGACAGCTGTCCCCCATCCCATTCCTATAGATGAAAAACGTGTTTGTACGTAACTGGCCAGAAGCAAATTCCATCTGAGTTATAAATACCGGAAGGGGAGTGCATGGGGTTCATTTAAATGAATTTTCCTGGAAAGCGACTACAGAGGTGTACTTTCTTTGGTTCAGAACTTTAGAGGTTATTCACCTTTTAAGAAAAATGCATCATTTGTAACAATGCCACTACTGGTTGGTTAAGTCACTAGCAGGGCCCGACTGCACTGGTCCACATCAGGCTGTACATCTTACTGTAGAAAGGCAATTCTAGCGTATGTATCAATGTACTTATTTCACTCTTATTTCAAAATGCCCCATATATTTAAAAGAAAAATCAATACTATTCGGTTGAAGATCCGCTTACTTCTCTGAAATCCAAACTAACTCATTATATCAGAGGCAAGCATCTAAGTACCGTCAATTCTGACAGAAGGCAACATATACATTCCTAAAAAGTCAGCTCACTCCACAAAATCGCACAACCAAAACCACAGGGCCTAAGGGGAGGGTGGAACACCGAGTGACTCTGACAGTGACATAGAAAAGGAACCTAATAACAGTGGTTGCATGTTAAACGGTTTCACACATGGTAAACAGTTAAAGAAACACACAAGCACTACAAGAATATGGCACCTGAGCTTGAAGACTTGAGGTTTGCCTGTATCAGTATGGGCAACAGGAGGGCTGCTGTGGGGTGGAGGAAGCAGGGCCACCTGAATCCAAGAGGAAGGTGTCCACCAGCTCTAG